TTTTGCCAATGTCATGTATGAAATAATATAGGGACTCAATAACAGAGAAATCAAGAATTGTGTCGAATCTAACTTTAATACCATGATAAAATGAAGTTTTGGCTCATCTCAAAAACAAAAAAATCAAGTATATTTTTTTTACAAGACTATGTAAGGATACATTTGTCATCCTTCATACATAAACTTTTAAAATTGCTATATTAATCAATTTTCTTTGTGTTGGATTTCATTATCAGTCGAGGCATAGAACTTTGGACTTCATATTGGACACAGTCTCAGCCAATCACTCTCTTGGGCCTTACTTGGAATTGCTCAAAATTAAAGGAACTTTTGTCATAGTGGGTGCACCAGAAAAGCCCATGGACCTTCCATCATTTCCATTAATATTTGGTAAGCAACACTTTATTTTATATTTTTAAGGATTGTGTTTGAAGATTTTTTCTAATAATAAATAACCCTTTAAATTGTGAAATGCAGGTAAGAGAACTGTGAAAGGAAGCATGATTGGAAGCATAAAAGAAACACAAGAAATGATAGACATTTGTGGGAAGTACAATATCATGTGTGACATAGAGATAGTCACACCTGATAAGATTAATGAAGCTTATGAAAGAATTGAGAAGAACGATATTAAATATCGCTTTGTGATTGATATTGCTGGTCAATCATCAAAACTTTAAGTCCTTTAGGGATTTTTTTGAGTTTTAAGTATCGATGATCGATATATTGTGTTGGACGAGTGTAGATCTTATTTCATGTACTAGGTATGCTTATTTTATAACTATGAATTCGATAGTTATGAGTCGAATACTTTTTTTTTTGCTTTTGGTTTTGGAATAACTACACAAATTGGACCCATTGCGCAAAATATTTACCCTGATTGGACCTAATTTAATATATTTATCCTGATTGGATCCACAACCCAAACTATTTATTCAATTCACTAAACAACTAATGATACCATCGGAGTACGTATATACTCGATAATATTTATAGACTTTGATGGTGTCGATATATTCTGATAGTATCAAGCAGTAATTGAGCAGTCTTTTCACTGAAACACTGTCAATTACTCCTTGGTGTCATCAGAGTATATATATACTCTAATGGTATCAATGAGTAACTAAATAGTGTTTTGACTAAAGAATTGTTTATCTTATATATATATTCTGATGGTATCAAACAGTAAATGTAAATTAGTAGTTAAAAACATGGGGAAAAAAAGGTTACCCACTTGTAAATAGTTTCCCTTTTTGGGGGTACATGTGTTCTTTTTTCCTTTGGTTTTTGTCAAAAGAACATAAGTTTGGGTTTTATCCATCCCTTCAAAGGCAGGGTGGTTATGGGCTTGATTCTACATGATAGACCGGAAGGACAATTGTATATGTGACCCAATAACGTGCAGTCTCTTGGGCTTGACTTATGTATCATCAACTCCATAATATAGTACCAAAGCTAATATGAAAAAGAAAGCATGTACTAGTTACTTCTCAGTTCAATTACAATATAATAAATAAAGAATTTAGCGGCTATAATATAATTATTATTATATTATATTTATCGATAATAATGAATATGACTATTTATAACCAACATTTTAAATAAATATCATTAAAGATTTTAATGGCTCTGAATGCAATGTCCCCTCAACAAAAAAATTATTGCCACTATATTCTCTTTTGTTGTAGTGGTATAGTCTTTGAAACATAATCATTATATCATTAACATTTTAATTTTATAGTTAAAAGGGAAAAAGATTTATCGAAGAAAAAGGAGTATTTTTTTAAATAATTAATATACATGGTAGTTATATAGCAGTGACCATTGACCAATGAGGAAAAAGTAACAAAGGTGCAATTAAAATAGAACAAAATAAATTGGCTAATTAAATACCAGTAGTAGCAAATTGGTCCCAAAAAAAGGAAATTTTGTAGCAAGTTGGTCAGTATAGTTGGGAAACAACCATGCCGGCATCTTAGGGATTATTATGATTAATTAATAGAAAACTTAATTCAACCCCCCACCCTTTCTTTCCAAAAAACTTAAAACAAGTATATTTAAACCTGCTATATCTTCTCTATCTTCTTTTAGACTTTAACGGATGTGAATTTAGATTAATTAAATTTGAATATGAATATCAAACACTACATAAAAGTAAAATTGATTGAATAGCGTGCACATGAGATAAAGTTGGCCAAAGTCACAAGGTTTTCAACTGGTTCCTACACTATATATCCAACTGTCTCAGCTACTTCGTAGTTTGTATGGTTGTGTGCCAGCCATAAAAACAGGACCATTAGTTAGTACTAAAAATTGAACAAATAGTGGGTTCACATGGTTAAAGATGCAATGAACAGACAATTAAATAATAAAATATGATTTTCAAGAATGATCCCATCTAATTATTTACACAAATTCCCCTTATGAGACAAGTTAACCCTCCCTGACCAACTTGATTTATTTTAAGGTGGCCCTAAATCGAGCAAATCCTATTGTGATTGGACTCTAAATCTAGAAAAAGCAAAGAATGGAGCTACTTTTCAATAAATATATGGTCCAATATGTTACAAAGAAGTCTTACAAAGCGGAAATTAAGTAGATTCACATTCATATACACAATAATTATATAAAAAATGAAAAACGAAAAATCTTTGATTTGAAAAAAGTAATAGGACTTTTGCACATTCTTGAAAATGAACGAAGTAAACAATAATAACATAATATACACCTAGTAGTCTGGTAGAGTACCTAGTAGAGTACCACAAATGAGATTTAAAGAGGTATATATATATATATTATAATACTACAAATGAAATCTGGAGCGAATAACACATATATATACCTTCTGCTATCTTAATAGATAAAGAAACGATTTTTGATAGATTCTCAACTCAAAAATAAATAAAGTCTTTGAAAATGAACAAAATCTAAATAGAAATTATATTTTTTTTCTTGTAATGAATTTTATATTACATACTGTTTGAATTTGAATTCAAAATAAGTACTCCTAAAAAGAACATAGTACTCCAGTATATATAAAATAAAGAAGGGGACAATTTTATTTTTTATTCAGAATATAAAAGAGCATATATATGATGTGGCTTTTCAATTTTTATAGGGAATGAAGTTGTCTTGTTCCTCCTCATGAGATTAGATAGTTCATTTTTAGGTTGTCAGATTTATTTGAATCTCTCCCCTCTGCACTTTGTCTTCTCTTTAAAGTACGTGAAATTTCTCATCTCTTCTCCTTTTCTCTCTGATATTGTTTTTTTTTGTCTTTTTGTTCTTCTCCTCAATCCTCATTTTATAATCCTTTTGTTTGATTAATCCATACCTACTTTTACTGTGTTTGTTTGTCACTTCTTCTGTCCTGAGGCAAATTCAGATATGTAGTGTTTTTAATTTAAAATAAAAATTATTTAATTGAAATTACAAGTCATAATAATTAATAATTTAAAATACTTAATTGTTATATGATTTTCTTATTTAAATCTCACAATTCAAAATGTGTCATATAAATTAGAACAAAACAAAACACGATTTTGTGTTGTCCCGTCCCAATCTTTGTTCTTGAATCTTCCAACTTCTCTTTTAGTTTCTTCTTGCTACTTATTATGCTCCTATCATATATATTTATCACTATCACAATATTAAATTTTGTATAAATTATTGTAAAGATCTCATAAATATATATTGAACATGTGAAAAATATTTAATTGCATCAAGACATTATACATATATTATGTAAATATTTTATAGTATTAGATTAAATTACGTATATCAAATGGTAGAAATTTATCAAATTCAAATAAAGGTCATTTGACAAGAGGAATAAGGAACAATAACTTTGAAATAAAATACAAGATTATTGATTAAAAATATTAGTTAGTTTAAAAATTAGTTGTTCAATATTTATACTATAATAATTAGATAAAATACTAAATTATCTCATATATTTCTATGAAATATCTCAAAGAATAATTTTGTCAATCCAATTCCCATACCAAACAACCTCATATAGTCAACACCCTATATATTATTAGAGTAAATAAGTAAGTATTTGGGTTACTCTATGAATTAATTATTCCCTTAATTAGATTTGCTACTTGTAAAAAGAAGTAAAAAAAAGATTTGCTAATTTCGGAAATTATTTTCTGTTTGGTGTGTGAGTTGTCATGATGGTGATGCATTGTATTTGTTGGCAATTGGCATTGCTTTCGCTATACGAATTTTTTTGAGTCCTCTTTTCTTGATTCCGTTCCATGCAAAACTCATCTTCTGTTTATCCCCTCTCTCTTTCTCTCACACACACACAATTTTTTTATTATTCTTTTCATCTTTTGGATTCATCCTTATTGTCTTTCAATCCCTTTTTAATTTTTTTTTTTCTCTGGTTGGCTTCACTTTACACTCCAACAACAACTCAAAGGTGAGAACTTTTTTCTTTCTTTCCCTTTTACCCCCTTTATTTTCCAACAATAAACCTTCTTCTTCTTCCTTACTCCACCCCTTTCAAACCCCACCTGGGTTTCTTGTTTTTTTGGGATTGCATGCATCATATTTTTTAACCTTTTCTTGATTTCTAGGCTATTGTTGTTCTATTTTTGGAAGTTTTCATTTCGGGTTTTAATGGATGTTTTGACTTTCATAGTTGGTTTAAAGCAAAAAAGATTGAATTTTTAACATGTTCAAGATCCATTTTCCTCTTTAATCGGTTTTTCTGAACTTTTCCAGAGACTGAAATCTATCTATCTGGACAGAGAGGAAGTGATTCTTTCTGGACTTTCAGAAATTGAATTTGTATTTGGCTGACAGAGGGTTTTGTTTTCGGATTTAAAAGGAGGTTAGTTGTGGTTATCTGTTTGTGGTTTCTTGCATTTCATTTTGTAATATATATAGTTGTCTTGTGAGAGGGTTCTGTTTTCACATGCAGTTGGAAAATATTTTGATTTTCCTTTCCTTTTTTTCTTGTTTTTTGTTGTTGTTGTCTGCTCAGAAAAGAGGTTGATTGGGTTTGAAATCCCTGGCTGGGGTTGAGGATTGAACAATTATAGGTTTTGTGTTGCTTGGTTCATTGAATATTGTTGTGATGATTTGTATATGAACTTATTGGATTGAATCTCAAATGGACTTGTCAAATTGTAAGCAATTGAGATTCTTTGGAGTCCATTTGAATTTCTTGGCTGCAAAATGCTTGGTATTGGTTGTCATTGCTTTGTTCCTTGGAACTGTTTTGCTTCCAACATTCTCTGGACTTGGTGGGGTCATTCGACAGAACAACTTTGTCTTTGTCCATAACCGTTCATTTCCATCGAATCAACCCATAAAACAGAAGTTTCTTGAAGTTCCTCAGATTGTGTGGGGATTGAACAATCAGAAGATTGCTTTTGCTAGAGCTTGTTTGACTGCACGTATGCTTAATCGAACATTGTTGATGCCTAAATTGAGTGCTTCTCTGTTTTATAAAGAAGTTGAACTTTTGAAGCCTATTTCCTTCGATAAGATCTTCCAATTCGAAAGATTTAATTCCATTTGTAAAGGGTTTGTCCAATTGAGTCGTTATTCAGATGTGTCGAATCAAAGTGATGTTATCGAACTTCAGAAAGGCAGTGGAAGAAGGTGGACATTGGAAAAAGATTTGGAACAGTTGAATCAATTTAGTAAGCATCCATATGATGCACGTGAGATCATTCGGATAGTAGGGAAGAACCCCTTTTTGTGGCATGATCATTGGCCAACTAAAGACTATGCAAAGGTTTTCGAATGCTTAGCTTTAGTAGAGGAGATATCGACGGAAGCAGATAAAGTTGTCTCAAAAATTAGAGAAATAGGAATGGAGGTTAGAAGTAAGAATGCAATGTCAAGCTCTTCATCACAACCGGTTCCCTTTGTAGCTGTGCACATGAGAATAGAAAAGGATTGGATGATTCACTGTAAGAAACTGGAGCAGAGATTAAATATTAGTGAAATTTGTAGTAGTAAGGAAGAGATCATGGCTAGAGTAGGAAACATCTCGGGTCTTAAAACTCCTGTTGTCGTTTATCTTGCTGTTGCCGATACTCTTCTGGAGGATAATACTGTCTTGAATGGCTGGAAAGACGGCTTGCATCCTTTTGAGAAGAAAAAACTAGGTGTTTTTGACATTTACAAGAAGCAACCATATCTATTTCAATCTGCTATCGACTATGAAGTCTGTTTAAGATCCGATATCTTTGTAGGGAACAGTTTTTCAACATTTTCAAGCCTTGTTGTTCTTGACAGAACCCAAAAGATGATTAAAGTGGGTGAGACAAAGTTGTGTGGTTCGGATGTTAGATGGCCTTCTTATGCATACAATATAAGAGGAGCAGGGAATAGCCCTCATCCGTGGGTAACAAATATGTCCGACACTAGCTTGACAGCAATTAGCTATGGTTCTAATCACATTTCTTGCTGATAGCTTTCAAGGCTTGAATTACTTGGTTGTTTGTCAGCCTTTGGATGCAGATGATTAGGTTCGATTTTTCTTCGAAGTTTCATCGTCTCTGCAGAACCTATGCTGCGATCTTTCGAGTCTTTTTGGTTAAAGAGATAGGTTATACAAATTCTAAAGCGGCTTTCTGGGGATCGTGACGAGTAGGTATACTTTGCATTTGTGTAGTTATATATATATCTCAGATTTTGCATTCACTTTTTGTTGATATGTTACAATAAATTGTTAATAGAGCATACACTTATATGGAAGTTATGGTATACTCTTTGTTTCTCATACTGAACAAAAGAACATAAAATTTGGCATTTTTAGGCCTTAATGATTCATTGTTTGCTTGAGCCCTCCAGTAATTTGTGAAGAACAATGTTTGGTATTCTCAGTTTCAACTCTTTTCTATTGAACTATGACTCTGTTTTCTTCTTCTATGCTCTTTATTTAGGCATAAGAATTCTATATCTTGTATCATCTATATGTTACTTAGTGGATTTTGGTAACATCGCGACGAGGAATTCGACCTTATGTTCCATTTGAAAGAGGCTAGTTTACATTGTTGTGAAGTTCGATTCCTATACAAATGAACTTTTTTTTTTCGTCGATTGTTTTGTAGCATTTTTTGTACTCGAAATTTAGATGACTTAATTTTTAATGTGCATAGCATAGGACATCTATGGTATCTCATTTTCTTACTAATTTTGTTATGCTTGACTTGAGCTGAGGTATATCGGAAATAACATCTCTATCTAAACAAGATAAGGGTAAGACTGTGTAAACACAACCCTCTTCACATCCCACTTGCGGAAGTACACTGGGTAAGAAAACAATAAAACATTATGTGTATGATTTGATATGTACTTTTAGAGCATGGACTCAAATTTTAGAATGGGTGCATTATTGGGGCCTCAAATGATTGGTATGTTCATTGAAAAGGTTGATTCAATGTTACCATTAACATAGCATAAAGTTGTTTTTTTATCCCTCTCTTGCTATTTATGGAGTACAATCCTAAATGTAAAAAGAAACTCAATATTTTATAAAAATGTTGTTAAATTGAAAAGAAAATAAAGATTTTGTCATTGTATTTTATTAGTTGTCCACTTCCATTTGTGAGTTGTCCACGCATTCGGCGGCTGATTATTTGGTCCCTAATTTCCACATTAATTGCCTACCGTTCAACTTATCCTTCCCTACTTGCAAATGATGCTTTTCATTTATTTATTTTTATATTTATATTTTTAAAAAAGTCAATTGGTTTATGAACTTTGAATTAAAAAGCTTCGGTACTCTCTACCACCCATGTGAGGACAATTTAATGTTTTATGTCTATCATAATTCTTGTTAATTGTGAGGTTAGCAATAATTATTGCTTGGTTGTTACTTATGACTTATGAGCTTGCTTTTATTTCTTCTTCAATCTTCACACCCTATTCAGTAGTCCATTTATGAGCAATAATTATTGTTGCTTGGTAGTTTCCTTTAATTCAAAATATAATTAAGCTTTAGCTAACTTTCCTCTTCTTCTCCCTTTTGTTTGCTTTCTATCATTTTTGCGCAATTTTCATGTTAGAAAAAAAATTTGTAATATATTGCATTAGAACTTGACAATAATCGAATTTCATTTGACTTAACAGTATTATAATAAATGCGCGGTAAAAATAAAATAAAGTTTTATTTCATGTCTAACAGCTATGTATAAACTGTATTTAAGTTAAAGATCTCTTCTTCAGAACTCCTATTACATTAATTTATAGACCATATATTTGGTAAAAAAATAAATTGCATACAAAAATCAATTTTACGATGTATATGATAAGAGGTAATAAATAACTATCCAAATACTGAAGAAAAAGCAAAAAAGTAACACGACATGTGAACACTTTTTATATAAATGAACGTCAAACTTCTTAAAGTAGTAAGGCTGAAAAAAGATTTTGAGTGTATTTTGATGTCTCACTTTGATTTCTGTATATCAACTTTTCGATACCTTCAATAGGTTAACCATATAAGCCCTTTGGTGATTTTTCATCCACTCCCCGTCGCAATTTATGTAATCTAATTTGACTTGACACGATGTTTAAAAAATTATGAAAATAACAATGTTCCAAAATTCTCCTTAAATAAGTAGAACCCAAGTAAAATGTTAATAGTGTCGTCAAATATTTGTCAAATAAAAAAATATGTCATTCTTTCCAGGACTAAATAAAAAGAAGAGCGTAATGTACAAATTGGGCAAGAGAGAATATAAGTTTAACATTAAAAATGTCTCCTTCGATTTATGCTGTTTTGCTCATCAGTTTTCTATGAAGAGGAAGCTTCTTGTGACTTCCAATACATCATACAATTAGGATGAAAAGAGGAGAGGGAAAAAAGGCCCAACAGCTCTTTTAGCATGAAGCAAATGAAAAAAGTACATTATGAAGGGGCCTATTTGCTTAAACTATCATAGGAGTCTTGAGAGTGAGATACTCATTTATCTCCCATTTGAAAGTGTTTTACAAATGCTAAATGGCTTCAAATCTATCTATACTTCACTGGATATGTTCTTCATAGTAATTGTCACTGATCACAGACACGAATCGTTCGAGCCATGGAAGCTGATGGAGATCCTTCATGGCATCAACATAAGAATCTGTACAACGTGGTGGGGATTGATAAGCTTGGTGGTCTGTGAGACTGAATCCACCAGCGAGAAATCTCTGGATCAATGCCAGCTGAGATCTCTCTTCATCTGAATATGCATCCATCATAGTAGGCAGCGACTCAAATGAGTCCCATGACCATTGCTCAAACTGTTGTGTCGGTTGAGTTACCAAATCTTGAGTGTAATCCTCATCCCAGAATGCACATTGACATGTCTGTTGGCCGTCCCTGTATTCCGCACCACACGAATAACAGAATTGATGCCCACACCTGCCATTTTTTAATACAAACACAAAAGCTGTCAATGCTTAAAATCATCATCCACCAACTTCGATTTCAGCAGTATATATACTGAACAAGTTCCAAAGACATAAAAGGTTAGCATATGCATTTGGGCACATATCTTCAATTTTACATTCCTACAGACGTTCATCTGATGCTCAGATAGATTATCCAATCGGAATGCATTTTTCCTCTACGAGACTGCAATACAGCCTTACTAATGAATTCAAACACTCACAAATATGCAACCTAAAAGAAAGATCTGTATAAGTCATAGACGGTTGATTTTACTAAGAATAACTGCTTGATTGAACAGCTCTAGCTCCATTTAGAGCATCAGAGTATTTGATGTAAACTTTCCCAACTATCTGAAACAATGTGCCTTCCCAATTTAGTGCTGTAGAAGACGTCATGAATAGTTCAAGAAAAATCAATAATGAATAAATAGGACAAGCTATATCAGTTGTGTTTCAACTGTTCTCTCCTTTGTATCCAGTCAAGCACAGACTGGTTTCAAAAGCTTTAATAAGCCAACTGTTAAAGCCCAACTTACTACAATGTAATTTTACTCACCAAGTTATTAGTTTTGGTCCTTAAACTACCACCCAACTCACCTTACTAAGTTCTTTTGGCAAGACATGAATCAGTTTTCTTTATCTATTTTCTGTAGATTCCTTTGTAGGTTCTTGTTTCTTTATTCCGCATGTACCCTGCTCTTACACTGTTATACACCTATTGCTCTTCTACCCCATTATTCTGATACAAGTAGCTATTCTTTTGTTTCAGTCAACTCCCTGCCCATAATTCATTTAATATTTAAATCACTAACTTTAAACCTTCACCATAATTGGCCTGCTTGGGTACTTATTTTTAAAAAAGCCAGCCTACCTGCAATGTAAGCAGTAGATGAAGGAGAAAGAAGCAGTAGCAGTAGAGTACAAGGTAGTTAGAGGATTTGAAGAGTGTTCGAGAGCTCCAACCATTTGGGAAGGGACAAATACAGCAAGCCAGACTCATATAAAAACAAGATACGATACTTGGAACCCAGAAAAACACTTGATGGCTGGAAACTATTGATTCTGAGATACAGAACTAATTTTCAATAGATTGGATCACCCTCAAGCTTGGATAGTAATGTAGCAATTATATTGCTAACTATTTTAGGACTTCAGTTTATCGACTGAAGTTTAAGGATACACTAAAAGCTTATCATTAATTGATGATCACACGAACATAGATGTAATCTGACACCCAAAATTACAAAAGATAATCTTGGCCTAAGATGACCTTCCCATCAAGTTGGTCAAATGATTCTTGAGGGCTCCTTAATAACAGCAGACACTGACAACACTTGCAGCCAATCCATTGAAAATCTCTTCTTTCAATAGAGCAATCCTTGTTCATATGCTTAACAAATGCAAGTTCGTAAAAGAGTGTGTGTAGGTATGCTTAGAGATTGTCAAAACACTATAGTAAACACTGATATTGAAACACCTAAGGACACTTGTTGACTAGATGCTTCCGGCTTTTTCTGGTGCAGATAACCATCAGAAGCCTTCCAAAGCCCAATAGTTTATCACCGGATAATAAGATTTGCATCAAGCTATCAGAGAGTGTTTATTAAATCATGATTAAGCTATGATGCACATAGAGGGACATCTTGTACTTCAAACTCCAAGCTTCTCACCCAGTGTACTCAGGCAGTAGTCCCTGCCTTCAGCTATTTCAGATCAGCTCCTAGCTGAGGAGAGTATCCCATTCCCCTCTCCCATTATCGGATAACTCCAAAATGACCAGTGAGCATCCTAGTCCTCATTTACATGATGTTTTATTTGCTATCTGGGAAACTCCAAATCTCAAAGAAAAGGGTGATCTGATCGCTTAACGGTAGTAGTCACATTGAGTCAATTTGTCCGTCAAGCCTTTTGAGGGTAATAAAAAGTTATAGAGGGATGATAGACCTACTAACCACTAATATCCTTCTACATAAATATGTATGTATATATGTACATGTACACATACAGTATATATGTATGTACATTTTTTATTCCAACAAGTCAACTAAAGATTCAATATCATACTG